CTTGCTAGCTAGTGGACTTGTTGTTGTTTTTGTATATTTTCTTTAGCTCAAAAATTGGTACGAGGATCTACAGGGGAGAGTGTGAAAGAATATAATAATTAATCAAATGTAATAATTAATCAAATATAATGATTAATCAATAAGACTAACTTAACCTATTTAAACATTCTTACTTCAAGAAGTGACAACCAACTATCAACCAATACAGCGTCATAACATATCGATTGGGCCATTTGATCTTGTTTTTGAAGTATTTATAGTGTAAGATATTCTTTCAATATCTTATCTAATTCAGGAAAGTATTTGTCTAATATTGTTGGTATACCTTTTGTTGGAATCTCGTTTTTGCATTCAGTTAATGCTGCTCTTTTTGATTGTTGGTTGAATATTTCCTCTACAATATCTGTTAGCCATGAAGTTCTGTTTAGTCTATCTTTGATAATTTTGTTAGTGACTTTAGCTTGTTGGGTACTTTAGATCCCCACAGTAAAGTATCAATTTATAGCATAACTTGCCCAACTAGTTTCGCAAGAATACAAAACACTTGATAACTTTCATATACTAGATATTTATTAACAAGTGACTCACATCTGTTCTCAAATTTTTATGGTATAAAGAATTTCACATTGCAAGGAATTTGACACAAAAGGGCTCAACTTGTTCATGCAACTTTCCCTTGAGTTTCTTTCTTAAATTCAAGTCGATATGGAAGATACAATAAAAATGCCGTGTATCTGGATAACATTTTCGTATAGCTGATATTAAAGCAGAATCAGTATCAGAATAATACTGTAGGTGCAATCTCACAAGAGTTTTTTAACTCTTGCAAAACCCAGGTAAATGTTGACTCAGTTTCATCTTTTATGATTGCTAATGCTACAATTAAATTTCTAAAGTTATTATCCACTACTATAATTAACATTAAAATCATATTGAATTGATTTTTTGGATGTAGTATCAACAATTACAATATTGTGGTATTGTTTATAAGCACTAATTTGATCTGAAGCCATTCAGTACAATGAGTTAAGCCGTCTTTCTTCAGAATCAAACCATGGCTTTACTATCTACATCAGATTTTTTTCTTTTTTTAAGTATAAATCTTCAAGCATTTTGCAAGCATCATTTTTATTAGGCTTAATTTGGCTTTTAAATCGTTGAATTGCATTACTTAGATCTTTTTTATTAATGATTTTTTCTGGGAATGATGCAACTAACAAATTATACTAAGTTATTAAACCCAACTTTCCTTGAATTGTTCAAAACTTAATCTTATCAAGCATTTCATAAGTTAGCTTTCAATACCATAGTGCTATTTCTGAAATAAGTGAGTTCATTTCATGATTATAGCTACCTACTATACTGTTAATATGAATGCCTTCTGCTGTTTTAGGAAATATTAAATTAATGTGCCAAGAACAATCAATCATTTCCAAATTTTTGTCTCTTCTATTTTCTGCAAGAATAGCTTTTTCAGATTCATGCAAATAGGCATATGAATATTCATATGTGTGTCGCCTTATTATTGTATTATCATTAGAATCTATAACACATCTTTGTTTATGAAAACTGAACCCTTTTTGTTTTGCATAATCATTCAGGTATGATTTAGCAAGTTCTTATGTTTTAAATTTTATCCCTTCAAATAATACTAATGAACTGTCTTGTACTTTCTCATTTTCACTATTTTCATTTTTGCTATCCTTATTTTCACTATTATCATCATATTCTTTTTTCTTCATTATAAACTCCATTGTCTACTTTACATAGTCGAGTCTCAACATCCACATCTGATTAAATTAACTTATTGTTAGTTGACAGCTGAGAAGAACCTAGTTAGAACAAGATCATAGATATTAAAATTAAACAAAAACAAATCAACAATCATTATTAATATAAGTACCTATTGGATCAAAATCGTTAGCACTAAAATAAGGTAACGGCAAAGTATTTACAAAATCTTGTTTGTATGCATTTGAATAAAACAGCGCTGAAATATTTGCAATATCGTTATAATCATTATAATCATTATGATCGTGGATGTTAAGGTAAGATGATATGTCTTCTTGAGAGTAGTCATAAGTATTAAAATAGGATGATGAAGAAGCACTTCTGTATTTATAAGTGTCAAAGCAAGGAAGTGGCGAAGAATGATAAAAATCGTTTATGCTTAGAAAGGGTTGTTAATTGTTATTAGATATAAAAAAAGAAAAGGCGATTAGTAAGCTATTAGATTTATATAAACAAAATTGATAAGATAATGATTAGTAATACTCTTCTTGATTAAATAAACAAAGGTGATATCACCTACTTCAAATTAAAATTCAATATAATAAATTTTTATAATATAGAGGTGATTTTACCTTTGGTAAAAAATAGTTATAATCATAAAATATATAGGTGCTACAAAATCTAGCATATAAATAGTGAGTTGCACTTTGGTTAGGTGGAGACAGAGTAAAAAATTTAGCTTAATTAATGATCCACCAGTCACCTGAAAAATGATCATAGTAAAATGTAACTCAGATTACTATATAAATTTATTATAGTGTGAATATAGCGATCGCCCAAGGTAAACTTTTTTTCATACTAAGTTAATCACCTTTCTTAAGCAAAAAAGGTGATTAACTTAGTATGAAAAAAAGTTTACTTTGGGCGATCACTATATTCACACTATAATAAATTTATAGTAATTTGAGTCATATTTTACTATGATTATTCTTCAGGTGACTAGTGGATTATCAATTAAAAAGCATATGCGCACTTATATGATCACATGCTTTCTTCATATTAAAATAAGAAAATTTCATATGCGATCTGCACATACGCACATCGAATTTTTCACTCTGATAATATCAGTTGTGACTAGAAAGTTTAAATAGATAAACTCATAGTTAGGTTGCAAGTATAGCAAGTAGTATAAAACCTCTAGTATAGTACTAAAACTTCAGATGAACTATTTAATTAGTATCAAAAGTGTATATATAGCTTGATATACTTTATTTTATTTTTTATTTTTTTATTTTTTTGTAAAATTTAGCAATCTTGCCAACACTTTATTAGAATATAATATTAAACTTATGGGTAAAATATCAATTATGACTCAAGTCACCTTAAGCCTACCTAAGTTACAAGTGTTCACTAACCTGGTTGTTTTCAAGCAAATATCTATGTTTGATCTGCTATAGTAAATGTTTATCTCCATACCAAAAAACCCTGCAAGTAAATTTTTTAATACTTTACTGAATAGTATTTATAGTCTATCAAGATTGCTATTTTTTCTAAATCTTTTTTCTCTAGCTTTGTAAGCAGAAGGATTCATAGTTTCCAACTGACTTATGAAAAAAAAAGCTAATACTAAAAAGATAAAGAAAATGACACAAAAGGGGAAAATAAAAAAACTGCCTAAGTAACAAGAATATGAAAAAAATGAAACAAATGAAACAAAAAGAAAAAGGCAAAAAAAAAACAATCTATAAAAGCACTATTATAGCTTATGCTAAGTACAAGTTGTAAAAATTATATACTAAATTTAAAAATCTTGTATATCTCTATTGTAAAGCTAAGCCTTATTGTTAAAATTTTCTTCTAACTTTACTATTTAGTCTGGGTCAGTTTGTTAACTAAAGTACCAATTGGTTTGTCATGTAGTGTAGATCATTATTGCCAAAACAATCCTGTGTTTATGTCTGTCCAAAAATAAAAGTGTAAACAATGCCGATCTTTTGAAGGGGGTAAGCTAGAATACCCACTTTTTGTCAAAATTTTTGTAAAAGTGGCAGAAAGATGAAATAAAAAAGAAAAACCACTTGTACACAAAATAAAAGAGTATAAGTTTTTTTACTAAAATTAAATAAGGCTACACCAGAGTATACACAATACTAAGTTTTGTCAGTGAGTAATAAACTCTAAGTTTGTTAGCAGATAGTATATGAGAACTATCTCTAAATAGCAAGTGCTATACTTGTTACTACAGTAAGTAATAAACTATGAAAAAATCAGCAGATAGCATATGAGAACTATCTCTAAATGATAGTTGCTGTTCTAAGGTTTCTTTTTACATGTTTTATTATATCTAGTATAGCTGTTTATATTTTTTTCAAGTAAAAAGATTTTTGGAAATTTTTGGTAAAAGTGATTATCAGAAAGAGTTGAATGAAAATTGTATACTTTTATTACAATTGTATCAGTTATTAATAAACTTAATAAAAAGTCTCTAGGCCAAAAAGATTATTTTAATATTAAAAAAAAAAAAAAAAATACAAAGTATAAAATATTTTTTTTTTATATAATAAAACTTATTTGGTTATTGAAGTATTTAAATACAATCTACTATAATAAAAATTTGGTTTATTCTTTAGTTTTTTAATACAATAAAAATTTTATTAATAAGAGTAGGCACATTTATCACCTGATTTTTTTTTATCAGAGGCTTATCCCCCCTCTAGCTCTTAATATATGATTGATCAAGTGTTATATATAAAATTTCAATTTTTTTGACCCCTTTCCTCTCTAAAAAATTACCTGATAAATGTCTCTACTCTAAGCTTTTGCTATATAGCTTTGTTAAAATTGTTTATTATATTTTTTTTGTAAAATTTTTTTAATAAAAGCTAAAATAATATTTCTTAAACTATCATATATATATATATATATATATTTAAATTTTTATAAACCTGCTTTTATATATTTATTTTTGGATTTATTAAGCCTCATCCCACTATTTTTTAAGCTAGAATTTAAGCATATTACATGCTAATTGCTATATAATTTTCATTTTACAGATTTTTTCTAATGCTACTTTAAAATCAATTATATAAGTTAATTATAATATAGCTTTTATAATTAAATTTTAATATTAAAAACAATACTTGCACATAACTATTATGAAAATCATTCATGATTGTCACATACAAGTTTTTCAAATAATATAATATTAAAGTTGATCAAAGTTTCTTTACAATTAACTTTATATAAATATTTTTTAAAAATACATTGGGAAGATTAAATAACTTAAATATTCAGATTAAATAGTATACTTTATAGCAATAGTGCAGATTTGTGTTCTTTATTTGAGTTAACTAAAGTATGCCATATTGTGGCTATAAAGTATACAATATAACTCTAGTTTATAAAGTTTATTCTAGCCAATTAAAATAAAAATCAGTATAAAAAGTTTTTTTGCTCTGGTTATATTTTCTTTTAATTATTTAATTGGTAATCCACCAGTCAACCAGAGAATGATTATAATAAAATGTGACTCAAATTACTTATAAAAATTAAGGGTCTCCAAATGTGGCATGCGCGTATCTAAGACTTTTTTTATACTAAGTTAATCACTTTTCTAACTTAAGAGACTTTTGTAAAGCTTGTCAAGATGCATCTAATGGTG